AAGGTAATTGTTCATCTTGGGCAGCTCATGTTTTTATTATTTTCATATCTGTCAAAAGCTGATGTTTCCTCCCCTAAAGTGCCACCCATGGGCGCCGCCACTACGCCTACCGGTGAGGCAGTGACCGGACTGTGTGTTCCTTTCCGATACGGAGGGGAAATTGTGAGCGAATGCATCGGCGAGGAAGGGAAGTGGGAGGTAATTGAGGTGGAGAGAGAAGGAGGAGTGACAGACAGCTGGACAGTGAAAGGCAAATGGTGCGCCGCAGAAGTAGACAAGAATATGGATATCGTATCAGTTATACAGTGCCCAAGTAAGTGAATTAGAATCCAAGTTATGCATTTTTTCTCTTTGACACACACACATGCATACGCATACCCATACCCATACTTATACCCATGCGTACATACTCATGCATATATATATATATATTTATGTATGTGTATACAGATATATCTATATATATGTACGTATATATACATATACATATTAATGTACATAAACATATTCATGTACATATATACATATGTAAATATAAATGTGTATGTATATATAAGTATGTATATGTTTACATAAGTATGTATGCATGTTTTTTTAGTGTGTGTGTATGTGTGCAAGCGCGTGTGTGTATATCAGTCGTTTTCGTTTCTCATCGCCCCTTTGGACTTGCAGTGGAGCAGTGCGTTCCCTTCCGATACGGAAAGGAAATCGTGAGCGGATGCGTCGGCGAGGAAGGGAAGGTGGAGACATTTGAGTTGGTGGAGAGGGAGGAGTGAAGTTTAAGTTGACCCTGAGCTACAGATGGTGCGTCTCCAAAGTGGACGAGAATTTGAATGCCATGAAGATTATAAGGTGTCCGGAAATGGCTCGTAAGTGACGGAAAATTGACAAAATGCAAAGTTCATTGCTATATATTTGTCTTTATAAGTTAATGTATAATTGTTATTTAAATTGTTGATTGTGCAATTTTGTAACATGATCCTACTTCCTAGAGTGGTAGGTTTCGAGATAATAGTTGTCATGTTTGTTTATCAGGAAATATTGATCTTCCCCTCAGCTGTGACAGAAGGGGAGAGAAAGAAAAGAAAAAACATATATACAATGTATATAGCTATATGTATGCTATTGTAGATGTGCCTTTATATACATTGTTATTATGTATGTTAGAGTATAAGTTTTATTCTCATAGCAAAAAATCCAAAAATTATCGTAGAATATAATTTTCAAGGTAATTGTTCATCTTGGGCAGCTCTTGTTTTTATTATTTTGATATCTGTCGAAAGTGGATGTTTCCTCCCCAGCTCCGCCCGAAGAACCACCAGTGGGCGCTGCCACTACGGCCACAGGTGAGGCAGTGAACCTTTTTTTAACCCAGTTCTCATAGGCGCATATTCACATGAATGCAAATTGTATGCATTTGTGTCAGTATCTTTATGTATACACAAACATGTGTAAACAGAGAAGACTGCCAACAATAAGTTTGTGAATTTTGATTTAGTAAACGAATAGTTTATTTTGAACATGGGAGTGATATAGTCAGGAATGATGAAAATGTAAACTGCTTGTTTGTGTTTGTACATATATATATATATATATATATATATATATATATATATATATATATATATATATATATATATATGTATATATGTATATATATATATATATATAATATATATATATATATATATATATATATATTGTATAAGTGTATATTTATTATATTCATGTGTATATATACATTTGTTCTCAATGTCATTTCATAATACTTTGAGAATTTTCTGATAAAACTGAATGATAAGGATTCTATAGGATTTGAGAGAAAATGCTATTATTAAGCATAATTGTTTTCCGATAAGCTATAAACTTAAAGGAGTGTTACCTTCAATAAGTTCCAGTGAATCCCCAGGTGAGAATGTGAACCTCATGTGTGATCATGTTGACATGTATATTTATTTGAGTGTGTGCATTGGTACGTGAGAAGAAAATGAAGGTCTATGTCATTTCCGAATATCTTTATTGTTCATAGATACTTATCCTTTTGAAAATCATATTTTCCCTTTCAGCTGTAATTGAACTGCCACCTTCAGTAACCTCCAGCGAATCCCCAGGTGAGAATGTGAACCTCTTATGTGTGATCATGTTGACATTGTACATTTGACCATGTACTGTCAGTGACACTTCTCGACACATACGGACATAAATGCACTTACCTGTGAATACTATAAATTCACATCCCAGTACTGTATGCTGATATATATATATATTCATGTGTGTATATGTATTTGTTGTCAATGTCATTTCATAATGCTTGAAACATTTTCTGATAAAACTTTATGATAAACATTCCATAGCATTTGATAAAAAATGCCAATATTAGACAATCGTTTTCCTATAAGCTATAAGCTTAAAAGAGTTAGATATGAACCCAAATTTAAGCATTTGTCCTTTTGTGTTTAGATAATGAACTGTATACCTTACCCTCAGCTCCAAGTGAACAGCCACCAGTGAACACCACCGCATGTGTTCCCTTCCAACATGATGGAGAAATCGTGAGTGGATGCGTTGGCGAAGAAGGGATGGAGGAGACAGTCGAAATGGAGGGAGAAGGAGGAGTGATAAACAGGGAGACAGTGAGCGGTAGATGGTGCGCCTCAGCGGTAGACGAGAATCTGAATGCAGTGTCAATTATAGCCTGCCCGACCATGCCTCGTAAGTGAAATATCTCTTATTTTTCATATGTATGTATATGTATATATGTATATATATGTATATGTAATTGTGTGTGTTCATATAGATTTGATATGGATATAAACATACTTATTTATACATTCATTCATTCATGCATGTATTATTTTTGAATCGGTATGTAACTAGATAAGTATGTGTATATGTGTATATATGTATACACGAGTGTATGTGTATACGTAACTTGAAAGTGAAGGTGGTTATCATTTCTTGATATCTTTATGTCATTTAAAGCCACCTCCAGTAATTTGTAGGGAATCCCCAGGTGAACCTCTTTATGTGTAATCATGTTGACATTGATGGTTTTGACCAGGCACTGTCATTGACACATTGACACACAGGGACATAATTGCACTTGCCTGTGAATATTATAAATTCACATTCCGCTATTGTTTATACATGCTGAATTAGATATCTATATAAATGTAAAATTTATATTTGTGGTTATATTGTGTTTGTATACGTGGATAGTTGTGAACAAAGTTGTAATTATTTTTATCATTTTGGAATATCTCATGATCAGTGGAGCCACAGGCAAATTAGTTTTAAAGTGTATATTTTTTATACTTTTTAGCTGAACAGCCAGTGACTACTATAAAAGTGTCTATTTGATATGAATACTTTTTATCATTATTTATTTTTAGTCAGTTTAGTATATTTCCCAATCTGAGCTTCAACTGAACTATGACAGAAAAGTGTTATGAAAATCTGCCTTGGAGGTATATAGGAATATGAATATCTTATTCATTATGGCATTCCTAACCTTTCCTTGTTAGTGATAAGTTGCAATTCTTTAAATACACTTATTTTCTTAACCCGTAAATGCATATATCGTATATACGGATTTATGGTTGTGTGAGTAATAGATTTGTAAAGTTCATAGTCATATTGGAATTTCTTGATTCTTTTCTATTTGATCCAATAAGTATCAAAAGTGCTAGTATGAGATATGTCTGTCCTTTCTATTAGAAACGTTTTCCCGTTTCAGCAGTAACTGAACAGCCACCGTTAGTAACCCCAGGGCCACACTCAGGACCGATTGTGTATGAAGGTAGGAAAGCATTACGTGAACCCATGTATATATTGGTAATGTATAGATGTTTTGCCGTGGCAATTATGATTTTGAAAGCGAATCCCACACCCATTTGAAGTCATGCTAAGGAATCTATTGAAGTGGAACCGCAGTAGACAGTTACCAGAATATACGATCTATTATTCCGTGCCCAACCGTGTATCGTAAGTGGATTATACTCCAGTACTACTCATTTTTTTCTGATACATTCGCGCATACATTGTATATAGATACGATCGCATGCGATGAGATTTATTAATTTAATAAATGAATATATTTTTATACATCACATGACAGAAATTCCTTTATCTATTATATATGTATATATTTGTATATACATACATATATACATAATGTATATATTCAATACATTTTCATAATAGTTTGAACATATTCTGATATAACTTCAAAATAAGGATTCTTTAGGATTTGAGCCAAATTGCCAGTATTAGACATATCATCCTCTAAGCTATGAATGGGAATGAATATCATCACATTACATGGGTAGTACTTGACTAGTTTCGATATCTTGGTTAGAAATACATGTATTTCTGACAAAGATATATTCGACACCAATAAATACATCTTTTGTATTTGAATTATAAGAGTGTCTTAGATATAATTCCGAATTTCTGTCAGTCATTGTGAATCCTTATAACAGCGTTTAGAGAATTGAGTTCACACATTTCCTCAGCTCCAAGTGAACAGCCACCAGTGAACGGCAGTGAATGTGTTCCCTTCCGACACGATGGAGAAATCGTGAGCGGATGTGTTGGCGAAGAAGGGGTGGAGGAGACAATCGAAATGGAGGGAGAAGGAGGAGTGATAAACAGGGAGACAGTGAGCGGCAGATGGTGCGCCTCAGCGGTAGACGAGAATCTGAATGCAGTGTCAGTTATAGCCTGCCCGACCATGCCTCGTAAGTGAAATTTCACACATTATATGTGTGTTTGTGCGTACATATGTGCCTATACATATACATACATATAAAAATCAAGTTATGCATGTATTTATTATCTCTAAGTAAATGAATAAAGAATAAGAGAAATGTGTATATATAGTTTATACATATAATATGCATATATACTCGTATGTATGTATATTTATTTGAGTGTATGCATTGGTACATGAGAAGAGAAAATGAAGGTCTTTGTCATTTCCGAATATCGATATTTCATAGATACTTATCCTTTTTAAAAATCATATTTTCCCCTTCAGCTGTAATTGAACTGCCACCTTCAGTAACCTCCAGCGAATCCCCAGGTGAGAATGTGAACCTCTTATGTGTGATCATGTTGACATTGGTGGTTTTGACCATGTACTGTCAGTGACACTCCTCGACACATACGGACATAAATGCACTTTACCTGTGAATGCTATAAATTCACATCCAGTACTGTATGCTGATATATATATATATATTATATATATATATATATATATATATATATATATATATATATATATATTATATATATATATATATGAACCGTATTCATGTGGACAAATGTGGAAAGTATGAATGAGAACGAATATCTTCACAATACAAGAGATGTATTTGACCGGTTCGATTATATCTTCCTCTGACGAAGATATAATATATATATATATATATATATATATATATATATATATATATATATATATATATATATATATATATGTATATTCATGTGTGTAATATATATTGTTGTCAATGTCATTCATAATACTTTGAACATTTTCTGATAAAACTTTATGATAACATTCCATAGCATTTGATAAAAAAGGCCAGTATTAGACAATCGTTTTCCTATAAGCTATAAGCCTAAAAGAGTTAGATATGAACCCGAATTTAAGCATTTGTCCTTTTGTGTTTAGATAATGAACTGTATACCTTACCCTCAGCTCCAAGTGAACAGCCACCAGTGAACGCCACAACTTGTGTTCCCTTCCGACATGATGGAGAAATCGTGAGTGGATGCGTTCGAAGAAGGGATGGAGGAGACAATCGAAATGGAGGGAGAAGGAGGAGTGATAAACAGGGAGACAGTGAGCGGCAGATGGTGCGCCTCAGCGGTAGACGAGAATCTGAATGCAGTGTCAGTTATAGCCTGCCCGACATGCCTCGTAAGTGAAATTTCACACATATATATGTGTGTTTGTGCTACATATGTGCCTATACATATACATACATATAAAAATCAAGTTATGCATGTATTTATTATCTCTAAGTAAATGAATAAAGGAATAAGAGAAATGTGTATATATCGTTTATACATATATATATGCATATATACTCGTATGTATGTTATTTATTTGAGTGATGCATTGGTACATGAGAAGAAAATGAAGGTCTTTGTCATTTCCGAATATCGATATTTCATAGATACTTATCCTTTTTAAAAATCATATTTTCCCCTTCAGCTGTAATTGAACTGCCACCTTCAGTAACCTCACAGCGAATCCCCAGGTGAGAATGTGAACCTCTTATGTGTGATCATGTTGACATGGTGGTTTTGACCATGTACTGTCAGTGACACCCTCGACACATACGGACATAAATGCACTTACCTGTGAATGCTATAAATTCACATCCAGTACTGTATGCTGATATATATATATAATTATATATATTATATATATATATATATATTATATATATATATATTATATATAATAATATATATAGTATATATATATATATATAATTATATATATTATATATATATATATATATATTATATATATAATATATATATATAACATATAACCGTATTCATGTGGACAAATGTGAAAGGTATGAATGAGAACGAATATCTTCATAATACAAGAGATGTATTTGACCGGTTTCGATTATATCTTCCTCTGACGAAGATATAATATAAGTATATATATTATTATATATATATATATATATATATATATATATATATATATGTATATTCATGTGTGTATATATATTTGTTGTCAATGTCATTTCATAATACTTTGAACATTTTCTGATAAAACTTTATGATAAACATTCCATAGCATTTGATAAAAAAGGCCAGTATTAGACAATCGTTTTCCTATAGCTATAAGCCTAAAAGAGTTAGATATGAACCCGAATTTAAGCATTTGTCCTTTTGTGTTTAGTAATGAACTGTATACCTTACCCTCAGCTCCAAGTGAACAGCCACCAGTGAACGCCACAACTTGTGTTCCTTCCGACATGATGGAGAAATCGTGAGTGGATGCGTTGGCGAAGAAGGGATGGAGGAGACAATCGAAATGGAGGGAGAAGGAGGAGTGATAAACAGGGAGACAGTGAGCGGTAGATGGTGCGCCTCAGCGGTAGACGAGAATCTGAATGCAGTGTCAGTTATAGCCTGCCCGACCATGCCTCGTAAGTGAAATATCTCTTATTTTTCATATGTATGATATATATATATATATATGTTTATTGTATATGTAATTATGTGTGTGTTCATATAAATTTGATATGGATATTAACAAAATATGCATACATTCATTCATTCATGCATGCATTATTTATGAATCGGTATGTAACTAGATAAGTATGTGTATATGTATATATGTAATACGAGTGTATGTGTATACGTAACTTGAAAGTGAAGGTGATTGTCATTTCTAATATTAGGAAATGAACATGAACATGAACATGTCATGAACAGCCACCTCCAGTAATTTGTAGGGAATCCCAGGTGAACCTCTTTATGTGTAATCATGTTGACATTGATGGTTTTGACCAGGCACTGTCATTGACACATCGACACACAGGGACATAATTGCACTTGCCAGTGAATATTATAAATTCACATTCCACTACTGTTTATACATGCTGAATTAGATGTTTATGTAAATGTAAAATTTATAATTTGTGGTTATGTTGTGTTTGTATATGTGGATAGTTGTGAACGAAGTGTAATGATTTTTATCATTTTGGAAAATCTCATGAGCAGTGGAGCCACAGGCAAATTAGTATTTAAAGTGTATATTTTTTACTTTTTAGCTGAACAGCCAGTGACTACTATAAAAGTGTCTATTTGATATGAATACCTTTTTATCATTATTTATTTTTAGTCAGTTTAGTATATTTCCCAATCTGAGCTTCAACTGAACTATGACAGAAAAGTGTTATGAAAATCTGCCTTGGAGGTATACAGGAATATGAATATCTTATTCATTATGGCATTCCTAACCTTTCCTTGTTAGTGATAAGTTGTAATTCTTTAAATACATTTATTTTCTTAACCCGTAATGCATATATCGTATATACGGATTTATGGTTGTGTGAGTGTAAATAGATTTGTAAAGTTCATAGTCATATTGGAATTTCTTGATTCTTTTCTATTTGATCCAATAAGTATCAAAAGTGCTAGTATGAGATATGTTTGTCCTTTCTATTAGAAAACGTTTTCCCGTTTCAGCCGTAACTGAACAGCCACCGTTAGTAACCCCAGGGCCACACTCAGGACCGATTGTGTATGAAGGTAGGAAAGCATTACATAAACCGATGTACATATTGGTAATGTATAGATGTTTTGCCCGTGGCAATTATGATTTTGAAAGCAAATCCCATACCCATTTGAAGTCATGCTAAGGAATCTATTGAAGTGGAACCGCAGTAGACAGTTACCAGATATACGATCTATTATTCCGTGCCCAACCGTGTATCGTAAGTGGATTATACTCCAGTACTACTCATTTTTTTCTGATACATTCTCGCATACATTGTATATAGATATGATTGCATGGATGAGATTTATAATGTAATAAATGAATATATTTTTATACACACATATATATAGAGATGTGTGTATGTATATAAACCCTAGTAAGTGAAACAGAAATTCCCTTTATCTCTCTATATAAATGTATATATTTGTATATACATACATAATACACATAAATGTGTATATTCAATACATTTTCATAATAGTTTGAACATATTCTGACATAGCTTCAAATAAGGATTCTTTAGGATTTGAGCCAAATTGCCAGTATTAGACATACTCATCCTCTAAGCTATAAGATTAAAGTAGAAAAGGTATGAATGGAATGAATATCATCACATTACCTGGGTAGTACTTGACTAGTTTCGAATATATCTTGGTTAGAAATACATGTATTTCTGACAAAGATATATACGACACCAAAAAATACATCTTTTGTATTTGAATTATAAGAGTGTCTTAGATATAATTCCGAATTCTGTCAGTCATTGTGTAAATCCTTATAACAGCGTTTAGAGAATTGAGTTCAAACATTTCCCTCAGCTCCAAGTGAACAGCCACCAGTGAACGGCAGTGAATGTGTTTCCTTCCGACACGATGGAGAAATCGTGAGCGGATGTGTTGGCGAAGAAGGGGTGGAGGAGACAATCGAAATGGAGGGAGAAGGAGGAGTGATAAACAGGGAGACAGTGAGCGGCAGATGGTGCGCCTCAGCGGTAGACGAGAATCTGAATGCAGTGTCAGTTATAGCCTGCCCGACCATGCCTCGTAAGTGAAATTTCACACATATATATATGTGTTTATGCGTACATATGTGCCTATACATATACATACATATAAAATCAAGTTATGCATGTATTTATTATCTCTAAGTAAATGAATAAAGGAATAAGAGAAATGTGTATATATAGTATATACATATATATATATGCATATATACTCGTATGTATGTATATTTATTTGAGTGTATGCATTGGTACATGAGAAGAAAATGAAGGTCTTTGTCATTTCCGAATATCGATATTTCATAGATACTTATCCTTTTTAAAAATCATATTTTCCCCTTCAGCTGTAATTGAACTGCCACCTTCAGTAACCTCCAGTGAATCCCCAGGTGAGAATGTGAACATCTTATGTGTGATCATGTTGACATTGGTGGTTTTAAACCATGTACTGTCAGTGACACTCCTTGACACATACGGACATAAATGCACTTACCTGTGAATACTATAAATTCACATCCAGTACTGTATGCTCATATATATATATATATATATATATATATATATATTATATATATATATATATATATATATATATATATATATATATGTATACATGTGTGTATATATATTTGTTGTCAATGTCATTTCATAATACTTTGAACATTTTCTGATAAAACTTTATGAGAAACATTCCATAGCATTTGATAAAAAATGCCAATATTAGACAATCGTTTTCCTATAAGCTATAAGCTTAAAAGAGTTAGATATGAACCCGAATTTAAGCATTTGTCCTTTTGTGTTTAGATAATAAACTATACCTTACCCTCAGTTCCAAGTGAACAGCCACCAGTGAACGCCACAGCATGTGTTCCCTTCCAACACGATGGAGAAATCGTGAGTGGATGCGTTGGCGAAGAAGGGATGGAGGAGACAATTGAAATGGAGGGAGAAGGAGAGTGATAAACAGGGAGACAGTGAGCGGCAGATGGTGCGCCTCAGCGTAGACGAGAATTTGAATGCAGTGTCAGTTATAGCATGCCCAACCATGCCTTGTAAGTGAGATTTCATATATATATATATATATATATATATATATATATATATATATATAATATATATATATATATATATATATATATATATATTATATGGGCCTATACATATACATATAAACATCTATTTATGCACCTGTTTATTTTCTATAAGTAAATGAATAAAGGAATAAGAGAAATATGTATATATATATATAATATATACACATATATGCTTATATACTCGTATGCATGTCTATTTATTTAAGTGTGTGCATTTTCGTGAGAGGAAAATGAAGGTCTTTGTCATTTCCGAATATCTTGATACTTCATAGATACTTATCCTTTTTAAAAATCATATTTTCCCTTTCAGCTGTAATTGAACTGCCACCTTCAGTAACTTCCAGTGAATCCCCAGGTGAGAATGTAAACCTCTTATGTGTAATAATGTTGACATTGGAGGTTTTGACCATGTACTATCAGTGACATAAATGCACTTTCCTGTGAATACTATAAATTCACATCCCAGTACTGTATGCTGATATATATATATATATATATCTATATATATATATATTTATATATATATATATAATTATATATATATATATATATATATATATATTATATATATATTCATGTGTGTATATATATTTGTTGTCAATGTCATTTCATAATACTTTGAACATTTTCTGATAAAACTTTATGATAAGCATTCCATAGCATTTGATAAAAAATGCCAGTATTAGACAATCGTTTTCCTATAAGCTATAAGCTTAAAAGAGTTAGATATGAACCCGAATTTGCATTTGTCCTTTTGTGTTTAGATAATAAACTGTATACCTTACCTCAGCTCCAAGTGAACAGCCACCAGTGAACGCCACAGCATGTGTTCCCTTCCGACACGATGGAGAAATCGTGAGTGGATGTGTTGGCGAGGAAGGGGTGGAGGAGACAATCGAAATGGAGGGAGAAGGAGGAGTGATAAACAGGGAGACAGTGAGCGGTAGATGGTGCGCCTCAGCAGTAGACGAGAATCTGAATGCAGTGTCAATTATAGCCTGCCCGACCATGTCACGTAAGTGAAATATCTATTATTTTTCATATGTATGTATATGTATATATGTATATGTAATTGTGTGTGTCTATATATATTTGATATAGATATAAACATACATATGCATATTCATTCTTTCATGCATGCATTATTTATGAATCGGTAGGTTGTTGATTACATAATTTTATAAATGAGTGTATGGTTTATGTTATATCAACAAATATTTGTCTTTTCTCCCTCAGTTGTGGCAGGAGGTAGAGGGAAAAAAGGGAAACAAGGAAATAATATCTATATATGTGTGGGTTTCATATAATGTTAAATAAGAGAAGTGTATGTGCCTTTATAAAAGCATTTTGAATTAAGAAACATACAGTGCTCTTCATTATTTTATTTTATTTACTTATTTATTTATTTTTATTTTTATTTTTTTTTTTCTTCAAAACTTTGATGATACCGCTTGTGTTCATGATCATATCCGACCTTCTTGATATTTTTCTGTTTGATTTGAAGGGATGAAAAATGCCAGTTTCAGATATGTTTGTCCTTTTTTATTAGAATGCGTTTTACCCTTTCAGTCGTAACAGAATCACCGCTAGAGACCACTAGTACATATGAGTATGAAGGTAGGAAAGCATTACGTAAACCCTTGTATACATTACAGTAGTCTGTAGATCTTTCGGCCGCGACATCTCTGAATTTGAAGATGATTCCCATGTCATTTTGATGTAAAAAGGAATATATTGAATACAAAAACACATTTATTTTTTTCACTATGTAATATAAAATAAAATCCTTTTCCCAGCCTCAGCTGAAACTGAAGAGCCACCTTCAGAAAGTAGTGGGTGCGTTCCCTTCCGCTACGGAGAGGAAATTGTGAGCGGATGCCTTGGCCAGGAAGGGAAGGAGGAGACATTTGAGTTGGTGGGAGAGGGAGGAGTGAAGTTTAAGTTGACCCAGAGCCACAGATGGTGCGTCTCCGAAGTGGACGAGAATTTGAATGCCAGGAAGATTATAACGTGTCCGGAATTTGCTCGTAAGTGATGGAAAATTGACAAAATGCAAAGTTCATTGCTTTATATTTATGTCTTTATAAGTTAATGTATAATTGTTATTTAAATTGTTGATTGTGCAATTTCTGTAACATGATCCTACTTCCTAGAGTGGTAGGTTTAGAGATAACAGTTGTCATGTTTGTTTATCAAATAAACATGTGTAAACAGAGAAGACAACCAACAATAAGTTTGTGAATTTTGATTTAGTAAACAAATAGTTTATTTTGAACATGGGAGTGATATAGTCACGAATGATGAAAATGTAAACTGCGTGTTTGTGTTTGTACATATATATATATATATATATATATATATATATATATATATATATATATACTCGTATATGTGTATATTATATTCATGTGTATATATATATGTTCTCAATGTCATTTCATAATACTTTGAAAATTTTCTGATAAAACTGAATGATAAGGATTCTATAGGATTTGAGAGAAAATGCTATTATTAAGCATAATCGTTTTCCGATAAGCTATAAACTTAAAGGAGTGTTACCTTCAATAAGTTCCAGCGAATCCCCAGGTGAGAATGTGAACCTCATGTGTGATCATGTTGACATTTGTGGCTTTGACCATGTACTGTCAGTGACACTCCTCGACACATACGGACATAAATGCACTTACTGTGAATACTATAAATTCACATCCAAGTACTGTATGCTCATATATATATATATATATATATATATATATATATATATATATATATATATATATATATATATATATATATGTTCATGTGTGTATTTATATGTGTTGTCAATGTCATTTCATAATACCTTGAACATTTTCTGATAAAACTTTATGAGAAACATTCCATAGCATTTGATAAAAAATGCCAATGTTAGACAATCGTTTTCCTATAAGCTATAAGCTTAAAAGAGTTAGATATGAACCCGAATTTAAGCATTTGTCCTTTTGTGTTTAGATAATAAACTATACCTTACCCTCAGTTCCAAGTGAACAGCCACCAGTGAACGCCACAGCATGTGTTCCCTTCCAACACAATGGAGAAATCGTGAGTGGATGCGTTGGCGAAGAAGGGATGGAGGAGACAATCGAAATGGAGGGAGAAGGAGGAGTGATAAACAGGGAGACAGTGAGCGGCAGATGGTGTGCCTCAGCGGTAGACGAGAATCTGAATGCAGTGTCAGTTATAGCCTGCCCGACCATGCCTCGTAAGTGAAATTTCACACATATATATGTGTGTTTGTGCGTACATATGTGCCTATACATATACATACATATAAAAATCAAGTTATGCATGTATTTATTATCTCTAAGTAAATGAATAAAGGAATAAGAGAAATGTGTGTATATAGTATATACATATATATATATGCATATATACTCGTATGTATGTATATTTATTTGAGTGTATGCATTGGTACATGAGAAGAAAATGAAGGTCTTTGTCATTTCCGAATATCGATATTTCATAGATACTTATCCTTTTTAAAAATCATATTTTCCCCTTCAGCTGTAATTGAACTGCCACCTTCAGTAACCTCCAGCGAATCCCCAGGTGAGAATGTGAACATCTTATGTGTGATCATGTTGACATTGGTGGTTTTAACCATGTACTGTCAGTAACACTCCTTGACACATACGGACTTAAATGCACTTACCTGTGAATACTATAAATTCACATCCCAGTACTGTATGCTGATATATATATATATATATATATATATATATATATATATATATATATATATATATATATATATATATGTATGTATACATGTGTGTATATATATTTGTTGTCAATGTCATTTCATAATACTTTGAACATTTTCTGATAAAACTTTATGAGAAACATTCCATAGCATTTGATAAAAAATGCCAATGTTAGACAATCGTTTTCCTATAAGCTATAAGCTTAAAAGAGTTAGATATGAACCCGAATTTAAGCATTTGTCCTTTTGTGTTTAGATAATAAACTATACCTTACCCTCAGTTCCAAGTGAACAGCCACCAGTGAACGCCACAGCATGTGTTCCCTTCCAACACAATGGAGAAATCGTGAGTGGATGCGTTGGCGAAGAAGGGATGGAGGAGACAATCGAAATGGAGGGAGAAGGAGGAGTGATAAACAGGGAGACAGTGAGCGGCAGATGGTGCGCCTCAGCGGTAGACGAGAATTTGAATGCAGTGTCAGTTATAGCATGCCCAACCATGCCTTGTAAGTGAGATTTCATATATTATATATATATATATATATATATATATATATATATATATATATATATATATATATATATATATATATATATATATATGGGCCTATACATATACATATAAACATCTATTTATGCACCGTTTATTTTCTATAAGTAAATGAATGAAGGAATAAGAGAAATATGTATATATATATATAGTATATACACATATATGCTTATATACTCGTATGCATGTCTATTTATTTAAGTGTGTGCATTTTTGTGAGAGGAAATGAAGGTCTTTGTCATTTCCGAATATCTTGATACTTCATAGATACTTATCCTTTTTAAAAATCATATTTTCCCTTTCAGCTGTAATTGAACTGCCACCTTCAGTAACTTCCAGTGAATCCCCAGGTGAGAATGTAAACCTCTTATGTGTAATAATGTTGACATTGGAGGTTTTGACCATGTACTATCAGTGACATAAATGCACTTTCCTGTGAATACTATAAATTCACATCCCAGTACTGTATGCTGATATATATATATATATATATATATATATATATATATTATATATATATATATAATATATATATATGTATATATATATATATATATATTATATATATATATATATATATATATATATATATATATATATATATTCATGTGTGTATATATATTTGTTGTCAATGTCATTTCATAATACTTTGAACATTTTCTGATAAAACTTTATGATAAGCATTCCATAGCATTTGATAAAAAATGCCAGTATTAGACAATCGTTTTCCTATAAGCTATAAGCTTAAAAGAGTTAGATATGAACCCGAATTTAAGCATTTGTCCTTTTGTGTTTAGATAATAAACTGTATACCTTACCCTCAGCTCCAAGTGAACAGCCACCAGTGAACGCCACAGCATGTGTTCCCTTCCGACACGATGGAGAAATCGTGAGTGGATGTGTTGGCGAAGAAGGGGTGGAGGAGACAATCGAAATGGAGGGAGAAGGAGGAGTGATAAACAGGGAGACAGTGAGCGGTAGATGGTGCGCCTCAGCAGTAGACGAGAATCTGAATGCAGTGTCAATTATAGCCTGCCCGACCATGTCACGTAAGTGAAATTTCTCTTATTTTTCATATGTATGTATATGTATATATGTATATGTAATTGTGTGTGTTTATATATATTTGATATAGATATAAACATACATATGCATATTCATTCTTTCATGCATGCATTATTTATGAATCGGTAGGTGTTGTTGATTACATAATTTTATAAATGAGTGTATGGTTTATGTTATATCAACAAATATTTGTCTTTTCTCCCTCAGTTGTGGCAGGAGGTAGAGGGAAAAAAAGGGAAACAAGGAAATAATATCTATATATGTGTGGGTTTCATATAATGTTAAATAAGAGAAGTGTATGTGCCTTTATAAAAGCATTTTGAATTAAGAAACATACAGTGCTCTTCATTATTTTATTTTATTTACTTATTTATTTATTTATTTATTTATTTTTTTTTTTTTTCAAAACTTTGATGATACCGCTTGTGTTCATGATCATATCCGACCTTCTTGATATTTTTCTGTTTGATTTGAAGGGATGAAAAATGCCAGTTTCAGATATGTTTGTCCTTTTTTATTAGAATGCGTTTTACCCTTTCAGTCGTAACAGAATCACCGCTAGAGACCACTAGTACATATGAGTATGAAGGTAGGAAAGCATTACGTAAACCCTTGTATACATTACAGTAGTCTGTAGATCTTTCGGCCGCGACATCTCTGAATTTGAAGATGATTCCCATGTCATTTTGATGTAAAAAGGAATATATTGAATACAAAAACACATTTATTTTTTTCACTATGTAATATAAAATAAAATCCTTTTCCCAGCCTCAGCTGAAACTGAAGAGCCACCTTCAGAAAGTAGTGGGTGCGTTCCCTTCCGCTACGGAGAGGAAATTGTGAGCGGATGCCTTGGCCAGGAAGGGAAGGAGGAGACATTTGAGTTGGTGGGAGAGGGAGGAGTGAAGTTTAAGTTGACCCAGAGCCACAGATGGTGCGTCTCCGAAGTGGACGAGAATTTGAATGCCAGGAAGATTATAACGTGTCCGGAATTTGCTCGTAAGTGACGGAAAATTGACAAAATGCAAAGTTCATTGCTTTATATTTGTCTTTATAAGTTAATGTATAATTGTTATTTAAATTGTTGATTGTGCAATTTCTGTAACATGATCCTACTTCCTAGAGTGGTAGGTTTAGAGATAATAGTTGTCATGTTTGTTTCAAATAAACATGTGTAAACAGAGAAGAAACCAACAATAAGTTCGTGAATTTTGATTTAGAAAACGAATAGTTTATTTTGAACATGGAGTGATATAGTCAGGAATGATGAAAATGTAAACTGCGTGTTTGTGTTTGTACATATATATATATATATATTATATAATTATATATATATATATATATATATATATATATTATATATATATATATATATATATATATTATATATATATATATATATATATATATATATAATATATATATATATATATATACTCGTATATTTATTATATTCATGTGTATATATATATATTTGTTCTCAACGTCATTTCATAATACTTTGAAATTTTTCTGATAAAACTGAATGATAAGGATTCTATAGGATTTGAAGAAAATGCTATTATTAAGCATAATCGTTTTCCTATAAGCTATAAGCTTAAAAGAGTTAGATATTAACCCGAATTTAAGCATTTGTCCTTTGTGTTTAGATAATGAACTGTATACCTTACCCTCAGCTCCAAGTGAACAGCCACCAGTGAACGCCACAGCATGTGTTCCCTTCCGACACAATGGAGAAATCGTGAGTGGATGCGTTGGCGAAGAAGGGATGGAGGAGACAATCGAAATGGAGGGAGAAGGAGGAGTGATAAACAGGGAGACAGTGAGCGGTAGATGGTGCGCCTCAGCGGTAGACGAGAATCTGAATGCAGTGTCAGTTATAGCCTGCCCGACCATGCCTCGTAAGTGAAATATCTATTTTTCATATATATGTATATTTATATATTTATATAGGTATATGTAATTGTGTGTGTTCATATATATTTGATATGGATATAAACATAAATATGCATACATTCATTCATTCATGCATGCATTATTTATGAATTGGTATGTAACTAGATAAAAATGTATATATATGTGTATATATGTATACACAAGAGTATACATATACACCACCCTACTTCATGCGCAGGGTGGTGTGAAGCAATGTGGTAGCCTAGATAGTGTCAAGCGCTTGCATGCCTTCTCGCTTGCAGCTGCCACCGCTGGCTAGGCTTGTGCGAAAAAGGGAGCAGCCCTGCGTAAGTCTCCCTTGCCAGTGCATAGCCTCTCCATCATCAAGACGTCTGCAGTGCCTCCTCGTGGCACCTATGGAAACTGGCACCTTGCAGTCCCCAGGCTGAATTGTAGGGGATCTCGGAGCAGCAGGAGGCCCCAGAGGTACAGGGTCATGGCCACCGGCATGTGGACATGATCTGGCCCTGTACTAACTCCTGCCCCAAGCCCCTGGGGTCAATGGGAGGCTCGGGGGAGGTGGGCCTTGCCAGTCCTCCTCCCCCAGAGAATACCCCACTGGCAGTGCTTACTATAAACGGTAATGCTGGGGGGAGGGAAAACGTCCCTCTACCCAGCAAGAGAGGTGGGCTGCGGGCCCCATTGGGAAGGTGGCTGCTGGGGCGCGGGATTGGAGTGGAGCTCCTTTCCCGCCTGCATTCTGGTAGCCGCCAGCCCGATATGAAGCCCAAGGAACCCCACAGGTGGATGATGGGTTCGCGCTGCCGCCTTTGAGGTGGGGCAGCGTCGGCGGGGGTGGCAGAGGTGGCGTCCACCTGGAGCGACTGCCCGAGGGTTAACCTCAGGCGGGAAGTCAGGGTGGGGGCTTGGAACGTCCGCTCTCTGCATCAGGATGATCAGTCACCATCTTCAGAGAGTAGCCATAGCTGTCTCTGGTAGGCTCCGGCCCTCGGTGAGCATATAATGGTAGTGAGACTGAAGCTGTCTTTTGGCTTCATGTCTCTTATTGCTGTGTACGCTCCTACCAATGTTTGTAAACTTGACGTGAAAGAGATGTTCTACACCAAACATGTGTCTGTGGCAGACAGTTGTCCCTGGCGAGATATTCGTATTGTTCTGGGTGACTTCAATGCGGTATCTGGCTGTGATCGAGCTGGCTATGAGATGTCAGTCGGTCCTCATGGTTCGGGAGTTGATACCGGCAGCAAGAATTCCCTCCTTTTCCGGGTTTTTGCTCCTGGTACCAGCACCCAGACCCACATCGTTGGACATTGTACAGCCATGCGGGTAATGCAGCCAAGGAGATCGACCACATTCTCGTTAGCATTCGTTGGAGGATCCTCCAGAACTGCAGGGTTTATAGGAGTGCCGATTTCTGTGGTACTGACCATAGATTGGTTGTGACTACCCTCCGGGTTCACGTCAAAACTCCCCAGCAGCCCAATGACCACCCTAGGGTGTTTCATCTGAACAGGCTGAAGGAGAGGGAGTGTGCTAGGAGGTTTGCTGAGACAATCTCTGATCGGTTCACTTGACAATCTGATAGACCCTGTTCTTCTGTAGGACACCTTCAAGCGCAAAACGTTTGATGCAGCCCAAGAATCGATTGGAGAACGCCTGAGATCAAGACAGAATTTAATCTCTCAGGAGACGCTGGAATCCACAGATGCTTACCGTGCGGCTCGTCTTGCAGGGGATCGGGATTTGCACCGTTCTCAGGTGCGCAGAACTCCGTCTGTGTTAAGAAGGGATAAGGAAGTTTATTAGGAGTCTTGCTGAGGAGGTCGAAGGCCATTTCTTAGTAATTGACTTTCGTCCTGCATACCAAGCCCTGAGAAAACTGAATTCCAAGCCCTCTTCCCAGGTGACTGCAGTTCATTTAGTAGGTGGCCAGATTATCTCAGATCCTGTCGCGGTGCGCGAGCATTGGGCTGAGTACTTTGAGCAGTTTTATCAGGTTGACCCTCCAACAGTTAACTTGGATGTGGGTAGTGCCGTGATTCCGCTGCCAGACCCACCCATTAGCGAGGACCCACCCTCCCTAACAGAAGTTAGGGAGGTGATCTCCAAGCTGAAGAGTGGTAAAGCAGTGGGTATTTGTGGCATCCCAGCTGAACTGTTAGAGGCTGGTAGTGAACCTATGGTGCAGGGATTACATGCTGTCCTGGCTGCCATCTGGCAGTCCGGTACCATTCCCCCTGACCTGTTGAGGGGTGTGGTCATCCCTCTCTGGAAGGGGAAGGGGGACTGATGGGACTGCAGCAATCATCGCGGCATCATGCTGCTCAGTGTACCAGGCAAGGTTCCGTCAGATTGTCAAGTGAACCAAT